TCTTCATAATGGGCTGCTTTGCCCAGTCTTAATACAAGGTGAGGTACTTAGTCTTACTATAACTTGATATGACATGTTTTGTTGATATCCTTGGGAGGCCTGTCCTTTTCCAGAAGAAGGAGTGGATGGGGTCTTTGGAGCCCAGCTCTCACCTTTTCAAGAGTTCTGATGAGGGGGAGAGAGGGATAAGAAAATATTATACAGAAAGATAGCGAAGAGGAGAAAGACAGAAACACAGGATAGCTTCAGGAGGACCTGGGTCAATATCCAATGGCCTTTTCTGTTTATTTAAAAGGGCTTTTAATAACAATGCCAAGGGATGGGGCAAAAGACTTCCCCCTTGCTAGACCAAGCACACCGCACAGCCAAGTGTAGACCCTTCCAAACACCTGGTAATAATGCCAGTGGTCAAATCATCCCCTTATGCAGCCCTGCTGGGTAATGCAAGCTAAGATACTTGGACCCTGAGTAAGTTCTCACTAGGAAACCTCTGTGGATCTCCACAGCTCCCCCTTCTTAATATTTTAAAGGGCCCCTCAGACCCCTCAAATAGACTGTGCCTATCTTAGGTCATCTTCTTCTTCACTAATCAGCCTTACCTGCTGCAGAGATACACTTTCCATCAAGTGTACTCTGTCTTAGGTTGGCAGCTCACAAGAAGGATTTATCTGGCTCTGACTACCAGCCTCTGGCAGGGGAAAGTACAGAGCTTAACTCTCTGTAGCTCTGACTCAGGTCGCTACTATGAGCTTGTAAGTAGCTGGAACAACCACAGCAATACTCCTGCTCCATAGGGCTACCACATCTCCCAGTAAAGGAATAGAGGATGACCAAGATCAAATGTCTTTTTTGAATGGGTCTAAGATGTATATAGCAGCCCCAGCTGCACCAAGCCCTTTTATAAATCAATAAACTCTTGATGCAACTGCATCAAACCTAACAACTCCCTTAGCTTCACCAAACAATGGTTCATCAATATCAACAGGTTAACATAATTCTAGCATGAATATTACTATACATTTTTACAATTCTTACAAACTTACATCCAAAAGTAGAACTCTCAATAGGACTATTTACACTTTATAAACTTTAGCAAACATCTAAAAGCGATGTCTTAACAGTACTATTTACATTTTCTTCTAACAAGACAGTGGGTACATGAATCATGAGTCACAACAGTTAAAATTGTAGGTGAAATCAAAATCAGAAATCAAAAATTTCTGAAGTTTGAAGTTCAAAGTCAGTTCCGATACCTGTAAAATTCCCCTGAAAGTTTGAAATCAGAGCCTGACTCATCAATGGCTCTGGAGTCTTTGTATAGTGGTCCTTTTACCAAAACTTGTTGTAGTACAACAACCCAGTCCAAACAAGTCTCTGCATTTTTCAGTAGACTTCCTTAGGAGAGCTGTTCTAGGGTGAAGGTGAAATTACCATACTGAGCTGCTGTAAAACCCATTGAAAAGCTTTCTGCTCAGCTAGTAAAAATCAGGAAACTATCTCTTAAAGGAGAAATGTATTGGTTTGCCTCTAGCAACCAGAAGCAGTGTGGCTCTGTACTCTGTTTCATTCCAGCTTGTACAGTCTCAATAATTGGAACATATACTCTCATGATATCCTGGGCATCTTGCTGCTCAAATACTGGGAATATTTGAAATCCTTCATCTCCTCCCCTCTGGTAGCTGCTTCTCTAATACTGCCTTGAAGGGGAGACACAGGACCAGCAGCAAGGGTTTGCCATGCTCCAGGAGGTTTTTTTCGCCAGGGCAATTATGGGTAACTTTTCCATTCTGATAGACGACCCACTGGGTGAGTCTAATTCCATTACTATAGAAGGAAGATGAGTACCCTTCTGAGAAGGAAAGACCCAAAGAGCCTCAAACTTTTGAGAAAGAGAAATTACTAAGTCTCTTAAGCCCTTCAGTTCTCTCTTGTCTCATCCTAAGATTTCTGTACCTTAAATTCAGCTTCATGGCCAAGAGGGGACTGTCCCTGATTGAATGATTTTGTAAAAGCATCCCCATCTAGCAGCAGCTCTGGCGGAGTGGAGGGTTTTGTTTTGCCTATGTCCACCTCAGGGAAAATTCCCCCTCTGCCACTCAGGACTCAGATCCAAAATGTCCCAAATTAGTGTCCACAGGCCAAAAGCTTCCACTGGGATCCTTTCTGGCCCATGCTCCTCACAATATTGTTGTATTTTGACTCTGATTCTACCCCATGAGTCTGTGTCCAGAGTTTCATAATCAGAAAACCAAGAACACAGCTCCTCTACAAAACCTAAAAAACTCTGTACTTATTGCTGTTCTACCTTAACTCCACTAGTTTTCAAACTCTCTACAAGTGAATATACAAACAACTGTCTACTATTTCCCTGCCCCATAGTGGATTTTCTTTCTCAGACATAAGCCCACAGTGGCTGCTCATTCCTGGATGCTGTTTTCTGTGCAAAAGGTCCAGCACTAGGGAAATTATACTCTTACCCCAAGTTTCTTCCTACACAATATCCCTACACCTAAACCCTATATTTTTACATAACTTAGTAGATAGAAATTGAGAGAAAGAGAAGAGAGAAACCTAGACATAGAGAGATACTTGTCTCTCTAACTTTTACTACTTGCTTCAGCTTAATTTTTAGCCACTCTGCTCTATCTATATACAGTTTTACTCCTGAAGAATAGAATACCACTGTCTAACCTTAATTCATAACCTGACATGTCCTACTGCTTCCACGGTGCCCCCTTCTCTCCCTTACTTATCCCAAGTCCCAAGTTCTGGTGCCATCTGTGGGAGGCCAGCTCCCATCTTTTCAAGGTTTCTTATGATAAAGAGAGAGAGACAAGAAAATATTAGATAGAAAAATAGTGAAGAGGAGAAAGACAAAAGCACAGGATAGCTTCAGGAGGACCTGGGTCAATACTCAATTGCCTTTTCCATTTATTCAAAATGGCTTTTTATAACAATGCCAGGGGATGGGGCAAAAGACCTCCCCCTTGCTAGATCAAAGCACACCGCACAGCCAAGTGTAGACCCTTCCAAATACCTGGTAATCATGCCAGTGGTCAAGTAATCCCCTTAAGTAGTCCTGCTGGGTAAAGCAAGTTCATATTCTTGGACCCTGAGTAAGTTCTCACTAGGAAACCTCTGTGGGTCTCCACAGGGGGAGTGGGGATGTCAGGGGAAGATGGGGGAGAGAGGAGAGAGAATAAACTATGGTAAGGATGTAAAAATAAATAAATAAATAAATAAGTAAATATTTTAAAAAACACCAAAAAGTGAATTAAACATGGAGAAAGATTACTTACATTGGGTAAGGAATGGATGGGAGTTATTTGCAAATCAATGTCCCCCTTGAACAAAGGAAGTCTGGATATTTCACTGGGGAATTCTGTACATGTTCATATAGGAAAGTACTTTAAGAATAGGCACACTCCTGAGCATGCTCAGTTTACAGTCATATTTCAAGCATAAAAGATGGCATTCACAATCCTAGGTATGCTTAGCTCAAGGTTATATAACAAATATTTAAAAGTTAAAATGGTGGACAAGAAAACTTGTGGATATGCTCAACTTGCATTGTAAAAATGATGAACAGAGGGCTGGAGAGATGGCTCAGCCATTAATGGCTAGTCTCACAACCCCTCCCCCCAATAAAAAAATAATGATGAATTGAAAACCTTTGGGCCTGTTCAGAAAAGTCATAAGATGGTATACAGGAATATTTCTGGATGTGCTTATCTAGTCTATATAATGTCAGATGAGAATACCTCTTAACATGCTGAGCTTTTGCAGAAAAGGATAGTGGACAGGAATGCCTATGGGTAGGCTTAGATTTTTCTCCCCCAAACCATAACATTTTCAAATATTTTAAGATGCACAAGCATCTCACTAACATCATTCGGTGGTAGAAAACCAACTCTATGCAGTTGTATTCATAAGGTTATCAATGTCTATGTGCATATTTTAAATTTTGTTTCATCTTAACATTTTAAAACATGCTGATGATGTGTAGAAATAGTACAACTGATTTTGGGATCACCACATGACAACTGAACAATTAGTCATGTCTGTTTCACTGCTTGATTTTTTTGTTTGTGATATATTCATGTCTCTGATATTCTTTTTATTTTGATTACAGTTAATAAATGATAAAAGAAGCTGGCACAGAAATATAAATTCCCATTATATGAATATCAAAGGATGTTACAGTGTGCTGTGGATCTAAAGGCTTCACAGTGACACTGATAGAAAAAAATAGAATTAGTACTGTGACATGATGTTGTAAATTCTGTATGCAAGAAATTAGTCTCCAAACATTATCCATGAAGCCAGAAAACTATCCATGGAAGCCTCAGGTCAGTTTCATCTGTTATTGGTTAGAATTCAGTTCGCCTCATTGAACGTCTACAGTGTTGCAAGTATTTTATCAAACTATGTGAATTTAAAGACAAATGAATTTTGTTGTCTACCTCTAAATTCAGTGTGTGTGTGTGTGTGTGTGTGTGTGTGTGTGTGTTCTATATATGTGTTCATGTGGGTGTTTCCATGCATACTGGTCAACTCCAAGTGTCTTCCTTTATTGTCTACCACCTCATTTACTGAGGTGGATTCTCTGCACTAAACTTGTAGGTTATCTGTTGGCTAGACTGTCTGGTCAGTGTGTGCCAGAGATCCAACTGTGTCTGTTCCCTATCTCTGGTACTAGGTTCACAAACATGCGCTGTCACATCTGACTCTTTATGTGATACTATGGCTCTGAACTCAAGCCCTCGTTCTTGCATATCAAACACTGCCTATTGAGTTATCTCCTCAGCATCTCTAAATTCTACTATGAAAAATAATTAAAGACTGTATTGTCATAAGGAGCTGATAATTGAAGTCTTTTTATGAAACCCAGTTTTAATCATACAACTATTAAAAAGATTAAAGTAAGTAATTTTTAACTGACACATTTTACAGCATTTCATGCAGATGTTTATTTTACATGAGGAATACATATCACTTACTATAAGAACACCCATATATTTCTATCCACATCCCAATCCTGCCCTTGGGATTCCAGGCTAAGGGGAGGAAGCGCAGGAACCTGGTGTGGAAGGGAGGCTGGAGTCTGTATTGCACCACACTGTCTGCATTTGTGTTTCCTGGAAATCCCTGGAAGAAAATGGAGGAAGGGTCAATATATCTGCAAGATACCAGTTTCATATTGCCACTGTTCATATCAATATGTGCAAAAGACTACCTTCTTTTCAAGTAACTCTGCAAATGTTTAATAAAGATATGACAACCTTTCCTTGGTCAGTCAATTAGCTACTATTGTGTAAATATTCTTTTTGTACAAGATATTCTAAATATCAGTGCCATTAAAATGTTTATAAACATGGTGACAACCATCAGGCTTGCTCTTCTAAAGATTTCATTTCACACATCTCTCCCCACTATCTCCAAGCAGTAAAGTTGTTCTTAGAAAACTACATCATTGGGGTAATAAAGCACCACAGTAATTAATGCCCAATGATCTGCCTTAAGAATACCAGAATCTGGCATTAGAGAGCCTGAAGGGACCTAAGGCATTATTCTAGTCCCACTTCCATAAGTTATAGATGAGATGCTACTTTCTAAGGAAGGAAAACTATTGTATGGAGGCAGGATAGGTATCATATAGGTCAGATAAGATTAGATGACATCCAAGGTTTTATTATAATCACAGAATCCATTGTGTATTATCATCCTGAATCCACTTCACACAAAACATAAGTCAAGTGCAGGATATTGCTGACAAGGTTACTGAAGCTTTCTATGGGCCAGTTTTCAGTGAGCTTCTGCAAGGAACACACCACCATTATCTCTATCCAGGTCAGCCAGGAGTGCTTTTGCCCATTCTTGCTGACTGAGTACTACGAAAGATCAGAGTGAAAAGAAAGAAGAATGCTTGTAAATATTTTCTACCCTCATATTCAGGGGTGTATGTGTGTGTGTGTGTGTGTATGTGTGTGTGTGTGTGTGTGTGTGTGTGTGTGTGTGTAAAGCTATGGAGTTTGGATCTGGTTAGTATATACTATCATGTATATGTGGAAACATCATACTGAACACATTAATATGCACAGTGAATATATGGTGATACAGAAAAAAAAATAATGTGGGAGCAAAGGAAAGCCCAGTGCTCCTTAACTCTTAAATTTATTTCAGATCACAATGACTAATACAATAAATAAGGTAAAAGTTCTGCTTATAAGCATTTAAGTAAAGGCAGAAAAATCAACACTAAACACTCAGCCTGTTCCTTACATAGATTTTCTGTTGTGTTTCCCCCCCAAATTCCCTTTACCTGAGCTTTCTAGAAATTATGACTTACATATGAAAAAAGTTCATGGGTAGATGGATATAAGGGGTTCATTATAGAGCAAGTTTTCAATTAGTGAAGACTTAAATCAGAGTATGAAAAGTTATATATACAACTAAGGCTATATTAGAATGGCAAAGACTTTTAATTAAGTTGAAAGAGTGTAGTATCTGATACTCTCTTGTACTACAATGACTTTTTGCCTGGCACATGCAGTCAAAAATAAGTTACCATAAATATGTTCAATGAAACACTTACTTCAGTCAACAATTAAAAATTTTATCTGCTTTTGTGTTTTGGAACATGATGTCAGACTCACAAACAAGCAAAAAGTCAATGAAGATCGATCTGCTTGCTCCCTGACCACAGGTAAGATTCCCTCTGTATAAATATATGAGTCTAAAAGTAGAAATTGACTTAGAAAATGTGGTCTATATCCATCTCAGTATCTATTTTAGACTTAGTAATAAATTGGTCCTTTATGTCTAATTAATACCAGTGTAGAGGTACTTAATGATTATACTCTTGTGTAAGATGAATTGCTAAACAGTCTTATTAATAAAAAACCTGGAGCCAGATATTAGGGTAAAAACTGAGATCAGAGAAGCAGAAAGATGCTAACTACATGCTTACTGCTAGGAAATCCTCAGCCAAAAAGAGAGCTACTTCTTGTATACTCACACCTATATCCTTTCTGTGCCCTGCCATCTTACTTCCTCTCTCCACCCAGCTACATCACTTCCTCTTTCTGCCCACCTCTATCACTTCCTGTCTGTCTGTACAGATCTCCAGACCTCTATGGTTAACTAGTGCTGGGAATTAAAGGTGTGAGTATACAGGAAGTAGCTCTCTTTTTGGCTGAGGATTTCCTGGTGATAAGAATGCAACTGGCTTCTTTCTGATTCTCTGATTTCTCAGTTTTCACCCCAATATCTGGTTCCGGGTTTTTTTTTTTTATTAATAAGAGCATTTATCAATTTGTCTTACACTCTTGTTCAACTAAAATGTAATCTTCACCTATATCAACATCAGGATTTAATAATTAACAATTGCTATATTAGATTTCAGGTGAAATACTTTGCATTTCAAGAGAAAGTTAGAAACACATCCACCCCAAGAAGGAGAGAACCAATTTTTGAGGATTGCCCTCTAATCTCCACAAAAGGAGCATGGCACACATGCACCTACATTCACTGCCCCCAACAACATCCACAATAATAAATGGGTAAATAAATAAAAAATTAAAAAGAAATACATCCAACCCAGACCATTCAACTGGGCATACTAGGATTCTCTGAGTATAAGAAGTTGTACCCTAGCACTGTTTCTTCAGACTTGGTAGCTTTTTCTGTTGCTCTCTACTGCAAACAGGTGCTTCCCAATCCATAAAATTCATTTAGTAAAATCTAACTATAAAGGTTAGAATGAATATTAATAGGGATGCTTATAAATCTGCCTGCACCTGCCTGTGCAGGGGGAATGTGCTCAGGCTAAATGGCTGCTGTGGTATAGGCAGAGGCTGGTAATGTCCAGTATTGTGGTTTGAATATTAAATGTCCCCTGTAGGCTCATGTGTTTGAACGCTTAGTCTCCAGTTGGTGGTACTGTTTGGGAATTTTATAGAACCTTTAAGAGGGAGAGCCTTGCTAGAGGAAGTGGGTCACTAAAGGAGGATTTGAGGTTTTATGTCCTACTTCCTGTTCTCTCTACTTTTTGAATGTGAATGGAATATTACCAGGTGGCTTCCTGCTCCTGCTCCTGCTCCTATGCTTTCTCCATATGTTGCCTTGGCTCTTCCTACCCCACCTATATCTCTCTTACTACAGATAAAGGAATGAACCCCTAGAAATGCAAGATAGAATAAATACTTCCTTCCTTAAACATTTTTGCTGTGGATATCTGTATGCTGTGAATGTGTTGCTCTGATTGGAAAGAAATAAAGTGCTGATTGGCTAGTAGCCAGGCAGGAAGTATAGGTGGCACAAAGAGAGAGGAGAATTCTGGGAAGTAGGAGGCTGAGTCAGGAGACACTGCCAGCCACCTCCACCATGAGAAGTAAGATGTAAAGTTTTGGTAAGCCACGAGCCATGTGGCAACTTATAGATTAATAAAAATGGGTTAATTTAAGATATAAGAACTAGATACAAGAAGCCTGCCATGGTCATACAGTTTAAAAGTAATATAAGTCTCTGTGTGTTTAATATAAGTCTTTGTGACTGAGTGGCTATGGGCCCAGGAGGGACTGGAGATAACTCCAGCTATTTTTCCCAAGTATTTGCTCAAAAGTGAATAATACATCTGGTTACTACTGTTGGTTCATCCCTGGGGTGGGATCTGAATCCCACCAATTACATCCAGCTAAACCATGGACATCAGCTTTTGTGGGCATTTTGTCTCCAACATCAGAATTCAAACAACTAAAATAAATTTTGTCAGTAGCTGACCAGTTTTTAAACTTTTTGATACATATAGCATACACATAATTTTTTTTTCAAGGAAACATACAGAAACAGAGGTTTTTATTGTCTTTATACAGAAAATATTATTTTTTCTCAAGTTCATTTTAAAATACAAACAGCAAAATATGATTGATATGATTATAGCATCATATAGCAAAGGGATTTATTTACTTATTTTTAATAGAACTAAAATAGATTGATTAGTATTTGTGATGGTGGCTTTGTCAACTTGACACAATTTAGAATCACCTGGGAAGGGACTCTCAATGGAGAATTGTCTAGATCAGGTTGGCCTGTGGGCATGCCTGTGAGAAATTTTCTTTGTTGGTTTAACTGAGGTGGAAACACCCACCTTGAATGCAGGCAGCACTTTTTCATGGGTTGGTTCCTAGACTGAATAAAAAGGAGAGAGCAAGCTGAGATAGGCATGCATGCATTAATCAGTGCTCACTGGTCTTGACTGTGGGTGTAATGTGACTGGCAGCTTGAAGTTTTTGCAGCCTTGACTTCCTCATAATCATGACTTGTAACCTGGAATTGTGAGCCAAAAAGCCCTTTCTCCAAGTTGCTTTTGTCAGAGCATTTTTAAAAAATAAATCACATGAAGGGAAAACAAAACAAAGACAATATTTAAGGAACTTTAGACAGACAAAAACTAGTACGGATAGATAATATAAACTATTTCTTAAAATTCAGAGATCAGAATACAAAATCAGACATTTACTATATATGATTAAAATACATTCAAGGAGATAAGATATAGGTCAATATATAGAGCTTGCCTAGCATGAATACAGCCTAGATTTGATCCCAGAACCATAAGATAAATAAATAGAACATGCATGCACATATATTTAAATTCTTGAGTATACATATGTATAAGTAATAAAGCTTTATTTTGTATAGTAATTAATTCATTTGAGTTTTGAAGGCCCACATTTCAGTATAATTGGATACTATTTTTATTTAATGACATATAAGTTTACTAGGATGTGCTTTGAAAAGAGAGAATCTATGCTAGTATTTACTGAGATGGCATTTAGGACTTATTAATAAAATAACCCTATAATAAAATTACTTTAAAAAGTAATGTAGTCTTCTATTAATGAAAGTCAGAGTTTATTTTGAGAATTTATATGACTAACTCTTTCTATAAATTTATGGAAAGAATTTTAGATATAAAGACCTTTTCCTGCTTTGTTTTGTCATATCAGAAACAAAGGCTACAGAAAAATGGGGTTAAGCATATTCTGTGGAATTGCAGGTTTCAGCAATTTTTAAAAAGCTAATTCTTCATTTAGAGACAAACAGAAGACAGGATACTTAAAAGTGGAAGTTTAGGAGTCGTCTTT